TAATATGCATAACTAATATACAGGCAAGCAGGTGAGCCTAGAATAAATGCAACACACACAGTTTCGCGTTAAGCGTTTTTCCATTTAGAATAAACTGTCTACAGCTCTTTATCATAGTCCGTTATTATACAACATTAAGCGTTTTGCTGTATGGGAGGACAAGTGAAAGTTTGCGCATTGTGTTCATAGCCATCTGTTTGCCTTGTAGTACATTAAATAACTATATATCGAATTTGATCTTTTAATTGAACTTAATGTATCTTAATACATTATGCCATGTTAAGTGTTTGTTTTTCTACAGAAGGAAAACGCTTAACGAGAGACTTTGTGCATTGCGTTCATATTCTGCTGTTCTGTGGCGACGGATTTGCGGGTCTTGTCTTTTTCTTGCAGGACCCTGTATGTTATAGTACTAAATTAGTTGTAATCGTTTAATCCCCACCACAGAGTCTTGTCTTCATTGGCAACACGCACCATTTGTATCGATTGCAAGTGACGTCGCAGGTAGCGGAGAGTGCAAGTGGCGATTGCAAGTGACTTCGTAATTTAGTTTCTTTTTTCTTGTCTTCACCACCTGGCTACTGTTGTAAAATGTTGAGAGATTCAAACAAAAAATAATCAATAAATAGAACAAAATAAAAAAATAAAAGACTGAAAGTGACGTCGCTAGCGGAAGCGCAAGTGTCTGAGAGTGCAAGCCTGAGAATGCACGTCTGAGAGTGCAAGTGCAAGGCTGCAGCTAGACCCTCTTGAAGCATAGTGAAATAATTTAGCACGGAGCGAAGGCGGAGCGGTGTTTCTGCCGCTCCACTCCGCTCACATACTCTGGATCCTACAGAGGATAAGCAGTTATAGATGACTGATTGATGTATATACTTTGTAGCGGATTATTATTATTATTTGTTATTATTATTATTATTGTTGTAGTTTTTATTTATTGTTATCATTATATTACTATAATAATATATTATACTACACCTTATTTATAGGATATTCATAATATGTTAGACTGCTGTACTGTACACTACAAGTCAAAAGCTTTTGAACAGTAAGATTTTTTTTCTTTGATAAAAAGAAAGATCCAAAGATCATCATTTATCTGAAATAAAAAGCTTTTGTAACATTATACACTCTAACATTCAAAAGCTTGGTGTCAGTATATATATATATATATATATATACACACACATATATACACACACACATACACACCTATATACATACACATATACTTTGGGGGGGGGGGGTTATAGAAATTTATATTTTTATTTAGCAATGATGCTTTAAATTGATCAAAAGTGATGTTAAAGACATTTATAATGTTACAAAAGATTTCTATTTCAGATAAATGCTGTTCTTCTGAACTCTCTATTCATCAAAGAAACCTGAAAAAATTTAAGCCTTGCCCTCTCCAATACAGCAGAAGCACTGAAGTATCGCAGCAATGGGCCCAATAAGGAATCAATTTATGTCTATGGTCACTGTCACCTTAAGTCCACATTTCCATCACAAAATGCGGTAATTAATAGCTTAAACATCAAAAAGGAATGAAGAACATTAACATTGAGCTTCAGCAGATCCAATCATATGTTCTGCTTCATAACAGAAACCTTATCCAGTTATCCATCTGCTTTTTTACTTTTAAAATGGGCTTTTTTTCTTTGTTTAATAACACAGTGGAGAGCAACAGGAAAGCACATGGGGAGAGAGAGAAAGACTAGATTTAAATTCACATCCTGTGATAATGCTGCAGCTCAACATGTCAAAAGCATGTGCATTAACCACTGAACCAAGTGGTAATGTAAGTGAAGTGAAGCATCAAATTCTTAATTATTAAAACTAAAAATAAATGTTAAAAGTAATTTTGAAAAAAAAATATTTCAAATGTTTTGGTAAATAAATACATACATACATAAACATAACATACAGAAATAAATAAAATTCTCACCCTTCCATTCTCAGCTGGAGTCTTTTTCTTCTTCTTCTTTTTTTTGTTCGACTTCTCATTCTACAAAAAAAGACATTAAAAAGAAAACAACTGAATTGGGAAATGAAAAGAATTTAGAAGTTAAAATACACTGTGAAATGTACTGAACATTGCATTTCACAAACTCTAAACAGGTCACGGTTGCATGTTCATGTTTGGGGATGATGATAGTGATGTATAAAGGTTCTCACCTTCACGGTATCTTTCTCTAGTGGAGCTCCTTGTTGTCTGTCACGGATTCTCTCTGCCGTCTCCTCATCTGACACACTTACATCCACATCAGCCTCACCAATCTAACACACCATTAGATACTATATCATGACAGCAGCATCATAGCATTGCATTAAAACTGCATTTATCGACACTCAATGATCTACGTATGGGCAGCGGACATGAAAGCAGTATGACATGCTATACTCCAAATGAAACTACTTCAAACAGCATTTGTTTGATTGCAGTCAAATTTTAACATATGCCATTATATGACCTCATATAAACTGTGACCACATTGGAATTCATTTTTCACAGTTAAGGACAATTTAGGTGAACTGCAAAACAACTGTAGCAGTCGTTAAAGGGGTCATGAACTGCATTTGATTTGTTTTGTGGGGGGGTTCCTTAAGTCTGTTCCCTGAGGCCTACTTATAATGAAAAAAATAATAAAAGAAGAAAGAAAGTAAAAACTTTCGGATGAATACCCTAGTAGTACCACCTTAAAGCAGTATATAAATCATGGTACACATGTACGGTAATCACCATGGTATAACAAAGTACCATGGTAATACGTCTAATCTACACACAGCGACGCCCCTGATCACACATGCCAGACATTACCAGCTCAAAGATGTTGCTGGTGTTCTTCTGCTTATGGGCAGTTTTGTCACTCTTCATCTGCTCCTCTTCATCTTCATCAGTGAGTTTTAGCGTGTTTAAAGCGGCCTGAGCGCGCTGCTCGCCCTTCAGCCTACGCAGAGCGCGACTCGACATGATGGACGTCAGATCAACTGATCAATGATCAATAATCTAACACCGAGCCCAAATATCTCATAAACTTGAAATGAACGTTCAACATGAAACGCTATCAACACATGGGAAACGCGTCACTTTAAACGGAAGAGGATGTGTTCCAAAGTATGCGACCCGGACGTTATTTTTATACCTTATGTATTTTTCATAATCGTTTTTTTTTTGTAGTTGTTGTTGTTGTTGTTTTTTTATCATATGCAACGATTCCTTATTTATTCAAAGCTAAGGAGGGGTTTCAAAAATTGTTACAAATACATTATGATTTCTCTTTTTGAGCGCTTCTGGGAATATGAGAGAACGGACTAATTGCAATTCGTGGCAGGATTAAACATTTTTCTTAATAATTTCACAATATCTGGTGACGTGGAATATGAATGAATTTAAACAACAAAGCATATTAGAAACGCGTCACTTTAAACGGAAGAGGATGTGTTCCAAAGTATGCGACCCGGACGTTATTTTTATACCTTATGTATTTTTCATAATCGTTTTTTTTTGTAGTTGTTGTTGTTGTTGTTTTTTTATCATATGCAACGATTCCTTATTTATTCAAAGCTAAGGAGGGGTTTCAAAAATTGTTACAAATACATTATGATTTCTCTTTTTGAGCGCTTCTGGGAATATGAGAGAACGGACTAATTGCAATTCGTGGCAGGATTAAACATTTTTCTTAATAATTTCACAATATCTGGTGACGTGGAATATGAATGAATTTAAACAACAAAGCATATTAAGGCACAAGATATGAATGATGATCAGTGGATAATGCAGCTTTTTGAGCCACCGAGCGCCCCCTGCATGATAAAGAATGTTTAGCTTCTAGACCTTATGCGACAGAGAAACAAGCGTGGAGTCATCACTTAGAACTTTGTTTGAACTTTAGCTGCAGAAGCAAGACCTGAAATCTGAAATAAAATACGGCTTTTAAAACTTGAAAGAGTTAACCCTGGGTTATTCTAAACCCCAGGTACATATTCTATTTGCTATTACTATTAGCTATTCATCTATTATTATTATTATCATCATTATCATCATCATTATTATATTATTATTTGCTACTATAAATCAATTATTATTATATTACCTATTATTGTACTATTAATTGCGCACTATTTTATTTATCATATTATGGACTATATTTTCCTACAATGAATACTACATATACATTTTAATATTAATTTAATTCAATTCAAGTTTATTTGTATACAGCTTTTTACGATACAAATCGTTGCACAGTAACTTTACAGAAAATTAAGTTTTTACAATATTTAGTGGTAGCTTATCAGTGGTGACTGTCAGTTAATGTACATATGGCAGAAATGTACTGAAAAATCAATTAAAGACATAATCAAACAGACGATGAACACTATTAACGGCAATTATTATATGATGCAATCAAACTTATAGCATTTGGTAGTTCTGTATGTTGTTTCAGGGTTGGCATCATCTGAGGTCCTCTGAGGGGTTGACATAATCTCTTCTCAGGTGTTCTGGATTCAGACTGAAACTTGTGTAAATCCTAGTTAAAAACAGAGAAACAAATAGAGACATAATTAGCGTAACTACTGTTCCAAACCAAGCAAAATTGATTTATTTAACCCAAGCTAAAGAATAATAATGCGCATTTGATCAGATATAACTGCAGTAGAAGATTATGAGATGCATTATTTGAATGCTTGGCCAAAGAGATGTGTCTTTAATCTAGATTTAAACAGAGAGAGTGTGTCTGAACCCCGAACGTTATCAGGAAGGCTATTCCAGAGTTTGGGAGCCAAATGCGAAAAAGCTATTACACATATTACACATCACTTTTTTGTACTATCACACTGCACTGTAAAAGTGTATAAGGTTTTATCACTGTAACTGTAACTGTTTTACCAGACCCATAAAGGATTGTCAATTACACAATGTAACAAAAATTTGCTTCACTTTCACATTTTTTATGGTTCTTCTGTAATGCGGTGGTGCTAATTATTATTGTACTATTTATTTTCATGTATCATCAATATTTTGGTAAATATTTAAGTCAGGCAAATTTTAGAACTTCTATCATTAATTATGAAACACTGGTTTTGTACAGATATGTTTCTGTACTAATTGTGCATGTTTTTTTAAAGATATTTTGCTTTTGCAAGGATGGCAGCATTCTAGAAGTTTCTGTAACATTCTTTAATATTCTAATGCTTTCTGGAACATTCCAGAACATTGTGGGACTAGTCATAAATGACAAAAATCATCCAAAGGACACTTCTGAAGTTTTGGGCGATTCACTTTTGGCAACTTTGTTAAACTGTTGTTAGGTATGCATGAGTAATAACAGATTGGCTTGCATAAGTTGTCAACATATTTTTTTTAGTTTTCATGAGCACTGTTAATGATACACAAAAAGTAATGGGATTTTCATATTCAGCATGTCACATAAAACTTCATAAAGAAACATTAAAAATAAAAGTGAAACAAAACTTTAAAAAAAATGTTTCACAGCGTTATATTTGTTATTGTTTGTTTTGAAGTATATACAGTTGTGCTCAAAATTATTCATACCCTTGGTAAATATGATCAAAGAAGGCTGTGAAAATTAATCTGTATCATCAATCTTTTAGATATTTTATTTTTTTTAATTGACTAAAATCTAACCTTTCAGTGGAGGATAAGAATTTAAAATGGGAGAGAAATCTCATTATGAAATAAATGTTTTTCTCTAATACACATTGATTAATCATACCCTTTTATCCAATACTTTTTGCAACCTCCTTTTGCCAAGAAAACAGCTCTGAGTATTCACCTACAATGCCTGAAGCGTTTAGAGAACATCTGACAGGAGATAAGAGACCATTCCTTCATACAGAATCTCTCCAGACCCTTCAGATTTCCAGCTGCATGTTGACGCTTCTCCTCTTCAGTTCACCACACTCATTTATAAATAGGGTTCAGCTACGGGGAACTGGGTCGGCCAGGGCAGAATGTTGGTTTTGTTCTCAGTGACCCATTTTTGTTTTGATTTTGATGTTTGTTTGTGGATCATTGTCCTGTTGGAAGATCCAACCATGGCCCATTATAAACATGGACAGTCAGTTTTAAATTTTTTATCCATTGGTATTTTATAGAATACATTATGCCATCTATCTGAACAAGATATCCAGGATCTCCAGCAGAACAATAGGCAACATTAAATATCCATCAGTATATTTCATTGTACACATGGGGTACCCTGTGTGCACCAAACCCATCTTGAGTGTTTGCTGCTAAAAAGTGATTTTTTTTAGTTTCATCTGACCATTGAACCCAGTCCCGTTTAAAGTTCCAATCATGTCTAGCAAATAAATATGCTGGAGTTTGTTTTTGAATGACAGCATTTTCTTTTCTAGTTTTTTCTTGAAACTCTCCCAAACTATTTTTTTTTTTTAGGCTTTCTGACCCCAAGACTCAGCTATTTTCTGCAGTTCTCCAGCTGTGATCCTTGGAGTCTTTGGCCACTCAAACTCTCCTCCTCACCGTGCATTAGGACGATATGGACACACATCCTCTTACTGTAATAGAGAAAAATATTTATTTCATAATGTGAATTTTTTTTTATTTTTTACTTTAATTAAAGGTTAGTTTTTTTTATATGAAAGATCAAGTGGATAAATAATGCAGATTTATTTTCACAGCCTTCTTTAATCATATTTATCAATTTTGAGCACAACTGTATCTGTATCTGTTTAGTGCTACAAAATAATAAAAAAGCAGACTGCCAGTATGTTACTATTTGATGTGTATTTGCTGAGTTTATTCCATTATCTCAATAATGGTCAGTTATTATCAGTACTTAAATATGTATTATTTTGATGTTTCCCAGTATTTCAAAGGGAATGAGCTGTGTTCTCACCTAAAGCTCAAGAAAAGCTAAGATATTGGGATTGAAGACAGAAAAAGTCATTTCCACAATAAAAAATACTTTATTTCATTTTATGCACTTTGTTTCAAAGCAGCTTTAGTGATAAACAAAACAGTGATTCAGTGATACAAACAAAATTCTATTCTATTCTGCCGCGTGTATCTGGTAAAGGGGGTGGCCTTGCGGTCATCTGTCGTAACTCTATAACACTCACTCAGATGGATTTTCATTGTACTAAGACTTTTGAATACATGGTTCTGATGGTTGGCTCAAATCATTCCCTCACAATTATTTTGATTTATAGACCACCCAAACAGCAAAACGACTTTTTCTCTGAACTCAGTGAACTATTAACCCTTGCCTGTGCATCATCAGCCCAGGTCATCTTACTTGGTGACTATAACATCCATGTTGATACACACTGTTTTAATAGTACTCAACTAATGACTGTCCTGGACTGCTTCGATCTTTATCAGAACGTCAACTTCTCTACTCACACTCATGGTCATACGCTTGACTTAGTCTGTACATCTGGTTTGAACAATATCTCCATTAGTGGTCTGGCTACTCCTATTTCTGATCATAAGCTTATTACTTTTGACTTTACACTAACTTATCCAACCAAATGTACTGACAACATAACCATTTCTTATCGTAAGTTCAATGCTATCAATGTTGATACATTTACTGCCTCTATTGCTTCATCTGTTATATCTGATGTTTTCAATTTTACCTGTCCATCCAAGATCTGATTTGTATCACTCTGCTATTGCTGATGTTTTAGACGAGCATGCTCCAATTAGGACTAGGTCAGTTCCCATGTCCCGCTCCTCTCCATGGTTTAACGATGAGCTACGTGCTATGAAAGCAAGAGGCAGGCAACTTGAACGTCTTTTTAGGAAAACAGGTTTAACTTTACACTTTCAGGCATTTTCAGATCATGTTAAGCACTATAAAACTGCCTTGAACGCAGCTCACTCTTCCTATATTTCCAAAATTATTAACAAAGCAAACAATAGGCCTAAAT